ACTATTTCAAGTTAAAGAGAAGTCTAAAGCCAGCCTGATTTTTCTCTTCCTTTGTTGGTAACCTATTTTTTTCCTGCCAAGATGCTGGCATGAACTTCCTTTTCTCTGAGAAATTAAAAACATCTTCCAAACTTAACTGTGTTCTTTCAATTAACTTTTCCTGGAACATAGTAAACCTTTTGAACATTAAAACTTAGATTTTTCTCAGCCAAGGAAGGTGTTTTTCTCTTCCTTCCTTCTTTTTTTTAAATAAATTTATTTATTTATTTACTTTTGGCTGTGTTGGGTCTTCATTGCTACGCCCAGGCTTCCTCTAGTTGTGGCGAGCGGGGGCTACTCGTCGTCGTGGCGAGCGGGGACTACTCGTCGTCATGGTGCGCGGGCTTCTCATTGTGGTGGCTTCTCTTGTTGCAGAGCACAGGCTCTAGGTACGTGGGCTTCAGTAGTTGTGGCACATGGGCTCAGTAGTTGTGGCGAGCGGCCTTAGTTGCTCCACAGCATGTGGGATCTTCCTGGACCAGAGCTCGAACCCGTGTCCCCTGAATTGGCAGGCGGATTCTTAACCACTGCGCCACCAGGGAAGCCCTCTTTTTTTTTTTCTATTAATTAAACTAAAGTCTTTATACAAATTTCATCAAGTTTTCTACTCATGTCCTTTTATTTTTGCTCTAGGATCCAATGTAGGGTTCCATATTGCATTCAGTTGTCATTTCTCCTTAGTCTCCTCAAATCTGTGCCAGTCGTCAGTAGTTCCTTGTATTTCATGACCTCGACACTTGAGGAATACGGTTTATTTATCTTATATAATGTCCCTCAATTTGGGTTTATCTGATGGATATTTTTCTTTTTAAATGCTTCTATTCCATTTGTTCAGGTTTTATCTTAAGAATCCCCTTTTATTTTTAGATCGATTTTTATTCTTGTCCTTCAAAGCTGTCATCTTCTCTCTCATCATTTTTATTTCTGTATACATTTTCTCGGCATACTGCATTCTCTATATCAGTAGTTCTGAAAGTGTGTTCCAAGGACAGCAGTGTCCTGATAAATGTTTAATAACTGGCTGGGGTAGGGAGTAAAGGTTTTTTTTTTTTTTTTTTTTTTTTTGCGGTACGCTGGCCTCTCACTCTTGTGGCCTCTCCCGTTGTGGAGCACAGGCTCCGGATGCGCAGGCTCAGCGGCCATGGCTCACGGGCTCAGCTGCTCCGCGTCACGTGGGATCTTCCCGGACCGGGGCACGAACCCGCATCCCCTGCATTGGCAGGCGGACTCTCAACCACTGCGCCACCAGGGAAGCCCTAAAGGTGTGTTTTGATTTGTAGGATTTATTGATTTCTGTGATATAAATAATTCCATCATGGCCTATTTTAAGCTACCAACATGATGCCACTGAATGTGGAATTGGGAAGAGATGCTAACAATTGGTCCTCATGGACTGGTACAAGCCAGCTCCAGAAGCACCACTGTGGAGGGCCCCTGACCGTTTCAGGAATTCTGTAGGATTCTTTGTCCTGCAATACAGAATATCACTCAGTACTTTTCTTTAGACATTTCATATTAAGATATATATGTGATGAATATATGTGCATGTATGAATGTGTGTTTATATATAGAAAGAGAATATATGTGCATGTGTGTATGTATGTATGTGTGTATGTATCTATAGATAGAAAGAGAGTGGGGGGGTGAAGAGGGAAGAGAGAGAGAAATATATATTAAAAAATCCATAAATCCATATGTGAAAATCTGAACTCTCAAAGTAGATGATTTGGGAGTAGCATATATCACAGTACAAATTATTTTTTTAACTTAAAACATCTCTTCCAACCATAGTTTGAGATAAACTTTTCTCCTAGGAAATTTAAAATAACACTACATCTCTGCATAATTTTTTAAGGACATTTATTTTACAAATGAAGCTATACCTTTAGTGGGCAACAGATAGAAAAATAGGACCCAAAATGAGAATTCTGTTTTGATTTTAACTTCTAGTTCTTGCTATTGAGACAACACTTAGGATAAAACTAATTAATATTGATGTTTTTCACCATATGAAAAAAATGTACATTGACTTTCTTATCTATAATAAAAATACATTTCATAATGATTCTCTATTTTTGCTCTGCTTTCTATTGTTTCAAACATTGTTTTAAAAATGCAAAAGCATTTGTTAAGCGGTAAATAACCAGAGATGTGTTATTTGTTGCTGTTCTCATTGTCTCTCGTGTCTTTAGTATTTCTTTCCAAAGAAAAATGTAATTTGTTTGCCTTTCTTAGCAACAGTGATTTGCCAGTTTTTTATTTCAATATTTTTCCTCACTTCTTTGGGGACTTGCTCAGTTTTCTAAAGTTGAAAATGAGGGCTGCCCACAGCTCATGCCCATTCCAAAACATTTTTTGCTTTTAAATATTTCCTGAATTAAACCCTCTCCATTTATTCCCATTGCCACAATCTAGGTGGCACTCTCAGCGCCTCATTTGGTGCAGCATCCTGATGGTTCACTCTTGGTCTCTCTTCCCTTCAATATGCTCTGCCTTATGCTGCGAGACATATCATCCTGAACTTAGTCTTATCACGTCTTTGACATCCTTAAGGTCTAGACTCTTCCCTTACTGTCCAAAAACATTATGTTGATAATACAACATTACATAAAGCAACTATACTCCAATAAAAAAAAAACATTATGCTGACAAAGGGGCCATAGATCCATAGGTATCTATTAAGAACTCCTCGCTCAATTCTCATTTTTGGTATTTGTTAACTGACACATGCACTTAAAGAAACTGAACAATAGGCTTGGACCAGATTTGAATATGCATGATTTCATAAGTAACAGTTTCATTATTATATCTAAAGAAAGACTGACTGATATACAGAGCTTAGAAATAGGTTAGGAAGAACAGTCTTCAAATGAGTGGGCAACACATGGGAGGAACAGAAACTACCCCAGAGGCTATCAATCTTGCTAGAGTTGACAGATTACATATGGTATTACCACCATAACCAAAATGAGGGTATAGATGGCATATGAGGCCCCCCAAACTCTTAGTATCAGTTGTATGCACCACTCTTGTCAGGTGAGTACTTATTCCATTCAATGGAAGGAAGACAGTACAAACTTCATAAGAATAATTCATATGTAATTATTATTTGAGGTAGTAGTAGCAACAATAACAATATATATATATTTAAAGGTTCTACCATATCCCTGCTAATATTTATCATCAAAGATCACCCTCATTATAATACTATTACATCTATGTGCTTATGTAATTGTCACATCTCTAAGAGGAAAGAGCAGATAGGATTACATCCATGTTACAGATGAGTAAACTGAGGTTCAGGAAAGCTGGAGGCCCCACAGTTGGTGAGGGTTAAAAAAAAAAAAAAGATAATGTTAAAATATCCACTTAACAGATGCAGAAACAATCTCTGAGAGGTTAGGAGAAGTTGCAGTAAGTGTCAGGACTGGGATTCAAATCCAATTTCATCAGATTCCAAACCCTTGTGTATTTTCCATTGTGTCATGCTGCCTGCCTCACTATTCCTTTCTCCAAATTAGAGAGCTAAAGGGTTGTTAGGAATGACAATCCCCAAGAAAATTGTACTTACTCAGCTGAATCACAAGGGTATGCTTCAGGGAGAGGAAGATCGAGCATTTCCAAAGCTTTGGCAATGCTCTTAGTTAACTCAAGGGCCCCAGGAGAAGGGACGTTCTTTGGGATGTTAGTGCTCCTTTCTCCTTCAGAACCCTGCCCACCCAGCCACTGGGGATTCCAGAAGGCTTCCCTCTCCGTTCTCCTGAATCTCATGGACACGGCCATTACCAGAGGGAAATGTGTGTTCTGAGTCAAATAATTTGCTATGGAATGTGAATCATATCATATAGTTGTGTTTTTTCAGATTTGGGAAATAAATCTGATTAATGGTCAAAGCCTGCATATCTAATTTCCCATTTATGTGAAGATAAACTTTATTAGTCATTTGTGGGCTTTTGAGGGACAGAGAGTTTTCTTCCTACTTTTCATTCTTTTTGCTTTCTAATTTGCTGTTAAACCGTTACAGATCACAAACCAAAAGCACGTTTTTAATTCCATTGCAAGAGCAGGCAGTAGTGGGAATTCTTGCACTTTTATAAAATGCCAGGCTTTGGAGGGCTTTGAAACTCATCCAGAGTGTCCTCAAACCGTGAGCCCTTGCACAGTAGTACAGACTCGTCCTGAAGACCCTCTTTTTTTTCTGGAAGCTCTCATTTTGGTCATGGTGGTAATGCCATATTTAATCTGTTTCAACTCCAGTGAGATTGATAGCCTCTGACTGTAGTTTTTATTCCTCTCATATGTTGCCCACTTATTTGCAGACTGTTCTTAACCCATTTTTAAGCTCTGTATATCAATGTCTTTCTTTATCCATAATAATGAAACTGTTACATACAAAATCATGCACTGTTACAAAAAAAATCTATTTTTTTCAAGCCATTTGCTTACCATGTCCATTTTAAGAGCCTGTTATGTTCAACTTTGCCTCCTTTCTGCCCCAAATCCTAACTCTCATGTAACAGTTAATCGCCACTTAAATGTTTACAAAGCGTTTGTCCTCCTAGACATTTTGCATGTTATTTTGGTGCTCCAAAGATAAAACTTAAATGCAACAATAACACAAACTCTGAAACTGCTTTCAAACACTAACTTCCAAACAATAGGAATGCACAAACCTCCCCCACCCCCAAAGCTTTATCCCAATCAGCTTTCTTAAAAATCTAGACAAATCTTTAATTATTTTCATTTGAAATGTGATTACGCATTATCTGATATGCTACTGCAATCTCCTTTACTTAACAGGAAGAGTATTAACAGTAAAGTTCAATTCTTGAATATCTGTAAGGAGAAAAGATTAATTTACAGTTTTACTTCTCTTTGTCATAGTGGCTTAACAAAGATGTGAGAAAACAACGAAAGTATAATCACTTTCCTTCCTCTCTTCTCTCGCCCTGTCTTTTCAGGTACTTCCACAGTTTACAGAATCTTAGTTTGGCTTATTGCAGAAAGTTTACAGACAAAGGTTTACAGTACCTGAATTTGGGGAATGGATGCCACAAGCTCATCTATCTGGACCTTTCCGGCTGCACCCAGGTTTGTCTTTCAGCCTTCTCTTTCCTGCAGCAGGCGAAGAAGTCCTCCAGAGAATGAGAACGGGCTATATCCAGCCCTCATGTTATACTAACGCTGTGCACAGACCGCAGCACACTTTTTGGAGGTTTTAAATTACATGGCCACAGCTGCTTAAATTTTCCCCAGGATCGCTACTATAGGCTCTTGGCTTCCTTCCACTGGAGTGCCACATCCACTAACAGGCAGAGTTCATTGGATGATGAAGCAGAACACGTCTGTGTGGATACTCTGAGCACAGTTATAATACCAGAGTCCAAATCTTGAAAACTTTTTAGAATTGATACCAAGATACAAACAAAGAAAAACATTTTGTGGGGAGAATTTGCAAAGAACTTCCTGAAGAGTCAGTTTGCTCTCATGTGGGCCCTCAGAGAGTAAATAGTATTGGGTAAGATGCTACAAGTGATAAATGCATGAAAGGAAATACACAAAGATTATGATTTTATTTATTTATTTTTATTTTTGGCTGTGCTGGGTCTTCGTTGTTGTGTGCAGGCTTTCTCTAGTTGCGGTGAGCGGGGGCTACTCTTCGTTGTGGTGCGCGGGCTTCTCACTGCAGTGGCTTCTCTTGTTGCAGAGCACGGGCTCTAGGCGCACGGGCTTCAGTAGTTGTGGCGCACAGGCTTCAGTAGTTGTGGCCCGCGGGCTCTAGAGTGCAGGCTCAGTAGTTGTGGCACACGGGCTTAGTTGCTCTGTGGCATGTGGGGTCTTCCCGGGCCAGGGATCAAACCCATGTCCCCTGCACTGGCAGGCAGATTCTTAACCACGCCACCAGGGAAGCCCAAAGATTATGATTTTAAAAACTGCATTATATCCTTGGGCTAAATAACATGACGATTTGAGGTCTATATGGGGAAATATTTAAGTTTGAAGGAACAAGACTAAGGAAAACTGGGCAGAAAAGAGTGTGGAATGGTGGAGGGTAGGGCATGGCACTTTGGAAGCAGTTACTACCTCCTTGATAGTTTCTTCTGCTCTGTTTTGTTTGATTTCAGTCATGATTCTTTTAACTTTTCTTTCACCTCTCTGTGTATTTTATTGATATTTGTGTCATAGAATGTTCATCATTCTATGAGACTAATAACACAAATGAGAACTGTTACTATATGCCAGGCACCATGTTGACTGTCATACAGATCAAATTTACTGCTCATATAAATGCTGTGCAGTATGTATTTATCATGCCCATTTAGACATGAAAAGACCAAGGCTCCCAGGGCTGCACGGCTGGTGAAAGCACATGGTACTGGTACAGTTATAAGCAGGTAGATTCCCTGGAAGGAATACAGGGACAGAACAGATTTCTCCTCCAAGTTCTTGAATGGACAGAAATCTTACATAGCACTACTACTGGCATATCATGGTTTCCTGGTACACCACACAGTGGAGAGGATGTAAGGGAAAGGAGGGGGGGACGTTAAGCTAGGGCTGAAATGGCTAGAAGTTGCATTTGTTTAACATCCAATTTACTGCGATATGGCTTGCTAAGCATCAACATCTACCATCACTCTGTGGCCAAGATGGCCTTAATGTTCCCTCCAGATGGACAAAACTTCAGACAGGCTTCTTCTTGACTCTGGACCCCTGACCTCCCTTTTCTTAGAGCGTTTACTTTAGAAAACTTGTGGTTGTACATTCTTTCTCTGCTCCCGTTGAGATGTAAAGCCCTTAAAAAGCTTCTTGCCAGTTTTACAACCCAGGAATGTCTTCCTCAAAGACCTGGGAGCCAGCCTTTAATATGTAATCATCAAGAGAGAGAGCATCAGTATCTCCCAGTCTCTGTGGGAGGATGGGAGCCTAACTTCCATATGGATGTCAGTTAGCAAACACAGAGGCCTAATCACAAAGGAAGAATACCTGCAAATTCAGAAATAACTCAATGTGCTTGACACATCTAACTGATCAATCTCTCCCCTAAAGATACATGCTCCAGTACTTTTTTTAAAATTAATTTTTATTGGAGTTTAGTTGATTTACAATGTTGTGTTCGTTTCTACTGTCCAGCAAAGTGAATCAGTTATACATATAGATATATCTGCTCTTTTTTAGATCCTTTTCTCATATAGGCCATTACAGAGTACTGAGTAGAGTTCCCTGTACTATACAGTAGGTCCTTATTAGTTATCTATTTTACATACAGTCGTGCCTAGCTTACCTCAGTGCTTCCGAACCCTCTGCACAGTGTGACTTACCTCCTTGTTCTTCTGTTTCCACCAGGTAATTATTGTAGCAAAAACACACAACACATGCACAGACACACAAACACTCATACACATGTCCTAAGGTTAAATATTTTCAGACACACTAAAGTCAAAATGAGAGGTTTCAAATTGATGACCCTCTGGCTAGATATATATTCAAAACATATAGACACAGTCTGTCTTTAAATTTTGAGCCAACATTTGGAATTTTGGAGTTTTCAAATAAAAATCTAGACTTCAAGCTTCTCTTAAAAAACCAGAAGAACTAGCAAAATTGGGCCTGCTTTCCCACATGGCAACAAAAGACTGGAGCTGAGTCAGCCTCACCCCCTTGAGATGGCGCCCTCTCCTCAGTATGCCGCCCTCTCCTCCACTCAGTAACGTCCACACATGCACTTACTCTGGAACTGCTACCACTTCACTGCAATGCCTGCCTGCCTCAGTCGGTATTTGAGTTTGGTCTCAATGTATTTCTAAAGAATAGATTTCTTTTCCTAACTGACCCTTAATTTGTAAGTCTCAAACCACAGTGACATTAGTATTTCACATCATTATGCAAAATAATGTTGTTTTTTTTGTTCATCCGTCTTCCATTTGCATTTGTTCATTTAATAATTTAATTACTCGAGAGATTTAACCCTAGGTGTCAGGCACTGGAAATTGTACCATTTGAAACTTTATAAGAAATGGGCTCATTATGAACCACAGATATCTTAATAATGGCTGCTGCTGTAACTTCAGAGAATCAGTGAATCTTGGATGTCGCTGCTTCTGAGGGACTTATTAATAAGTCTTTTGAGGAGGCTCCATCTACCTCCCTAGCTCTGGGTGTGAGGATAGTTTCACCCTTCCAGACCTACTTGCATTGATATGACAGTATAAAATGGTTTCAAAGAAGGAAAGTTGACTATTCACAGGTTTTTCAGGTTCTTCCCTTGGAAAGTAAAATGTATTTTCTTCTTATGTTTGGAATTTTGCACTATGAAGTCATGTGTTAGTATATCTGATCAAGGAAAAAGGCCCTAATAAAACAAAAAGTTGAGAATAGAAGCTTACAACGAAATGCTTTACACTGGTGTTTATTGAGTGCCTGCTGCATACTGGGCACCATGATGAGTCAAATAGCATCTCTGTCTTTTGGAAGCTCTGGATTAACATAAGTGAATTATGTCAAGGGCTAAATGTTAATGCAGTCACAGCTGCCCAAAAAAGGAAAGATGTATACAGTATTGTGAAAGAATCTGAATCCATATTTGTTAGAAAAAATAAATAAGTGGATGATGGAGAACTACAAAGAAAAGTGAAAATCAATTACATATGTTTTAGAAATATTCTGCATTCTTATGGGATTGGATAAACACTGTAGGGTGCACTAAGTAATATGACCGATTTCCTAATGAGTACCAGCACTTGCATGTTCCCCTGCATGTCATCATCTTTGATGGGTTTGAGGTGATGCCTCTGCCCAGTTTCTCCTCCTTGAAAAAGCCTCTGCTCACACGTGGCCTGAACTGGGATAGGGCTGCTCCAGCGAGCTCTCTCACTATCCTCTGCAAATTTCTACCCATATACTTGCCACTTTGAGTTTTCTTTTTTCACTTTTAAAAAACCTGCTTTTTTTCTTATTACATGCTAAATGCAGAAAAATACAAGAAAAAAAGGACAAAAAGGGACTTCCCTGGTGGTGCAGTGGTTAAGAATCCACCTGCCATTGCAGGGGACACGGGTTCGAGCCCTTGTCTGGGAAGATCCCACATGCCGCAGAGCAACTAAGCCCATGCGCCACAACTACTGAGCCTGTGCTCTAGAGCCCGTGAGCCACAACTACTGAGCCCACATGCTACAACTACTGAAGCCTGCATGCCTAGAGCCCGTGCTCTGCAACAAGAGAAGCCACCGCAGTGAGAAGCCTGTGCACCACAACGAAGAGTGGCCCCTGCTCGCCCCAACTAGAGAAAGCCCGTGTGCAACAAAGACCCAACACAGCCAAAAATAAATAAATAAATTTAAAAAAAACAGGAGAAAAAAATTTAAATTACCTGAAAATTCATCACCAGAAATACTACTAGAATTTCAGTCTTTATTCTATGCCTGTCTAGACTTTTTTAAACTGAAATGGATTATATAGTACACATACCTTTCATTTAATGTTTTATAAAGTGAATGTCTTTATTCCATTAAATATTTTTCCTGTAACTTACTTTTAATAGCTATATAGTATTTCATTGTATCAAAATACCAATATGTATTTAACCATTCATTATTGGCCTACAGTTCTTTTTTTTTGGCCTACCATTTTTTTTGCTATCATAAATAACCTGTGAGGAAAATTATTGTAGCCATATCTTTGCATATGTCTATGTAATTTTTTGGTACAAATTTTTAGAAGTGAAATGGTCAGAGGATATAGTTATTTTTAAGGCCATCCATACCCTACAAAGATTGTCAGTTTACACTTACCATAAATGTAAAATAGTTTGTTCTCTTCATAAATATATTATATATAAAAAATTTTGCCAATTTGACACTGAATATGATATTTTATATTTTCAATTTGTATTTCTTTGATTACCAGGCAAAGTTAAACCATACACAGGCACTTAATACATATCTGTTGAATGACAGCATTCTTATCCCAACAGGCCGCCACTGTTAAAATATTTTTCAAATTAATTAAAAAATCTCTTTCAAACTGGGGAATATTGGAGATAATGTAAGTTAAGTGCCTGACACAGTTAGTGATAAAAAAAGAAAACCTATTAGTATATTTCTCTAAAAAAATTTCTTCAGAGCCTGAGTGCAACATTTTCATTTTAGTAGTTTTAGAAGAAAAAAAAAATCTACATTCATTTAACAAAATGATCCTGGCTGAATCAGTTGAACAAATTTAATTTGTTTGCTTTTATATTTGCTACTTACTCAAAGTTATAAAATCTAACCTTATGCCATAAAATAATTTTTTAAAAACCACGTTTAAATACAATTTGGAAAGACTCTGGAGACAAAATGGTTTTATCACGTAAAGAGGGTACTCTTTCCTGTGCTCCTTTGTCATCTATAATCTGGGAGACATTTGGCGACAATGAATGAATCCATCTTTTTCTATGCTCTAATGAATGATGTGTGACCTAACTCATGGTAGACATTTGTCAGAAATTTGTTGAATTTTTGGATTAATGTTTAGTTAAATAAGTGAAACTA